GGACCGCGGCCATCGACCGGAAGCTCCTCTTCGCCTGGGAGCCCGGCGAGGACGAGGAGGCCGTCGCGCTCGACGCGACGCTCCTCGCGCTCGGCAGCCGCGTGCTCCACCCGAGCCGCGCGCTGTCGAAGCTCGTCGCCGCGAACGTGCTCGCGCGCTACGGGCGGCCCGCGTCCGAGCTCTGCCGCGGCGCCGTCGGGCGGCTCAGCGAGCTCCACCCAGGGCAGCAAAAGAGAGCGAAATTCCCAACTTCAAAGGCTCATATCTCGGCCGTTTTCCACTCGTTTCGGCTGATTTTTGGACGAGCGATCATCTCTCGGAACGGTCTCGAAGCATGGATGTTTTTTCCGGAACGCGCGCGCGCGGAACACTCATGTTGAAGCGAACTTGAATCACCCTTTTGCTGCCCAGGCTCCACCAGATCGTCGGCGTCCACTTCGACGACGCGAACTGGCACCGGAACCACAAGGCCTTCGCCGCGGCCTACAACTTCCTCCGGTTCCACGACGACCGGAGCCGCCGCGCGCTCGCGGCCGCCGCGCGCCGCGACGACGACGGCGAGTCGTCGTCCGACGGCGACGGCGACGCGGACGCGTCGCCCGAGGAGCCGGAGGACGTCGACGCGCCGCGCGCGCTCAAGCTCGCCGCGGACCTCGTGGCCGCGCTCGCGGCGGCGGGCGACGAGGGCTTTTCGCGCGCGCGCGACGTGCTCGGCGACCTCGACGCCGCGCTCGCGCCGCGCGGCGAGCGGCCGCGCGCGCCGCGGACCTTCACGGACGCCGGGGACGCCGCGCCCGTCGCGCGGAGCGGCGGCGGCGGCGACGGCGACGGCGGGAAGCCGCGGCGCGCGTCGACGGCGGAGAAGCTCTTCCGCGCGGCGTCGGAGCTCCCGGGCGCCGCGTCGCCGGCGCCGTCGCCGCGCCCGTTCCTCGAGCTCCACTTCGACACGCCCGGCGACGGCGACGAGTTCTCCGACGACGGCAGCCACCACGGCGCGCACGGCGACGACCCGCCCCAGGCGCGCGAGGCGACGTCGTCCGAGCCCGGGC